GCAGGACATAGAGTTGGTTAGGAGGAGGTGAAGGGAGATGGCTCCTTCCCTCACGTGAAGGATATCTGTTGCTCTCCTGCATGAAGTGCTGGAAGCCATTGTGCACTTTTAAATAGATTCCTCACAACTAGAGTATTTTCATACCAGACCTTATTCAAAGTTACTTATTCTGGAACACCTCTCAAACCTGGACTCTATTTTTAGCTCAATGCTTGTTTCACTCTTGGGCAAAAATATGCCCTCTTCCCCTGAAAGATGCCTGGGAACAAAGAATGACACCTTGAAGGCTTTTTAGCTCTGCTCTAAGATAAATGCATGAGATGGAAGAAACCTCAGTGTCTCTTAATAGCTCTGTAACGCACTGTAGTTTTCCTTTAGTAGAACAGACCTTCTAATGACTACCTCCTTCCTGCAGTTTACTGAAGAAAAGTTGGGCCAGGCCGAGAAGACTGAACTAGATGCCCACTTCGAAAACCTTCTGGCCAGGGCAGACTGCACAAAGAACTGGACAGAGAAGATCTTGCGTCAGACTGAAGTTCTGCTACAGCCAAACCCTAGTAAGTCCAGCTGCTTCTAATGCTTGAAGGACAAATATCACTTGCCGCATCAAAGACATGCTCTGTGGCAGAAAGCCCTGCTGCATTAAGTTTGGGGGGGTTGGAAGAAACATGCCTTTGCAGGACCCATCCTTCCTTCCCTGCGTAGCTGAGAGATGGCTGGCTGCTGCCCTACACAGCCTTGCAGTCCTCCTGGGGGCTGGGGAAGGGACACCTTCGCCTGCTGGTGCTTGCTACCCAAAGTATTATTGAGGACTGCATGGGGTGGGCTACCTTGAATGCCAGTTCTAGGGGTCCCTCCTTCATCCTCCATCCTATAACCACCAGCGGCATCCTCATTCCAGGTGCCAGAGTAGAAGAATTCCTCTATGAGAAGCTTGACCGGAAGGTGCCTTCCCGGGTCACCAACGGGGAGCTGCTGGCACAGTACATGACAGAAGCAGCTAATGACTTTGGGCCAGGGACACCTTACGGTAAGTCAGCCGAGCCGATTAAAAAGCCCTGGGAATCCATCTCTTGCTGAGAGTATCCCCACTACTGCTTTGGGTTAAGGCTTCCACAGGATGCCTCTTGAAAGGGGCAGGGTGGTCTGCTCCCCCTGGGACAATCCTGCGTGTCAAAGCCGATGCCAGAGAAGGATCTTCTCTAGCGCAGAAGCAAACAGCCCTGGAGCAGGCAGTCAAGTCTTACTCCACAGCAAAGCATGCTCTGTGCTGGGGGGAAAGAGGGGCAAGGGTCTCCCCATTCCTAATACAGTCCTCAAGTCTGGCAGAGCTAGAGAAGAAAAAGACACGTGGATCCAGGGTGGCTAGTGGAACTGGTTATGGGACACAAACTATTCTGTGCTATTTCTGTGGCTTTCTAAACTAGCCTGAACAGGGAGTTGCAGTGAAGGGCTTTAGCTTTGTCCAGTTTGAGCATATTTTTAGTCTAAGGTGGTATCTAGTTGCACAGAGTTTCTCTAAGACTCGGAGCAGGAGAACCATCCTTTAACTGCGTCCTGCAAGTGGAGGGTGGAAATATTTCTCCAGCAGAAAGACAACAGGAAAACAGCCTTGGGAAGGCTGGTGCTTGGCTACAGGCCTCAACAGGCCCCTTCCTGACCACACAGAGCATCTTTCTGCTCTTAAATCCTAACAGTTGCCCCCTCCTGGGGGAATTTTGGGCTTCTTTAAGCAGCAAACCCCTCACAGAAGCACAGCCTTAACTTCCAGCTGTCCTTGCCTCTGCCATGAGCTTTGTTACTGCTCTCCAAATCAATAGCTGTTCAATAGTGAGTCCTGTTACAGGCAGAACAGCTGTAACTGCGTCTATAGCCAGCACTGCCTAATCAACTCATTTTTTTCTGCTCTGGTGCTTTTTAATTTGTTGACTCTGTTCCTGTGCCTCGGTTTTATGAGACAAAAATCATTCTGTGCAAGCAGGTGTGGCAGTAAAAGGACATCAGTGGAATAAGTGCCTCAGCAGATAGATAAGATCAAAGCTGCACTGGGAGCAGCTGAGACAAAGCCTCAAGCTAAAAGCAGACTGTAGTTAGGACTGAAGCTGGTGTGGTATCAGCATGGTCACCTTGCCCAGGCAGGGTACACTGTGCCTTTGTCCCCCAACACTGGAGCCTGGTAGCTCTGGGCAGAGCTGGCTGAAGCCAACACAATGTTAACTGGTTTCTCCTGGAGTTGAAGGCTCCTGTTATTGCAGGGAAGACCTTGATAAAAGTTGGAGAGACTCAAAGGCGCTTAGGTGCAGCAGAACGAGACTTCATCCACTGTGCCTCCCTCAACTTCCTGACCCCACTGCGCAACTTCCTGGAAGGGGATTGGCGAACCATATCTGTAAGTATGGTAACAGCGAAGGGCAAGCTTGTCACGTCACTGGAGATGGTGGGGGGAGAGGGAAACCATGCTGGAAGAACTCATTTTCCTTGCCTATGAGACAGGAGGACTCCATACCTCTCCCCTCAAAGAATGCAAGGATGGGGGAATACCAATCCTAGATCTGCTCCGAGCTCCCTCTGTGGCAGGGGAGGATTGCCAGTCGATGTGCATGAGGAAGGTAACTCCTTTCCTGACTCTTGCAGCTTAGTGGGCACCACCCACCCGTAGGCTGCCCAGGAGGTTAGCGTGTATCCCTGGCAGCCAGGCCCAAAACTCTTGCTAACAAGATAAACATAGCAACTGCTTCTTTCTCCCTAGCGTTTTTTGACAAGGAAATAGATTTGATTCCTGGATGGTACCTTGTCCCCTTCCCTCCCCAACAGCTCCTAACCAGTCTGCTCTTACCCATTTTCTGTCTCTTGCAGAAAGAGCGGAGGATCCTGCAGAACCGCCGCCTGGATCTGGATGCCTGCAAAGCCCGGTTGAAGAAAGCCAAAGCTGCTGAGGCAAAAGCAGCGGTAATTTTTTTCCCCTCATTCCCTCTCTCTGTCCTTCTGGCCCGAGGGCTCAGCTCACACAGACAAAAATTAGGCTGCCCTACTATGTCCTGGCTCTGGCAGGCATGGGTGGGGGAATTCCTTGTCTGGTACGAAAGGGAACTGGGAGCACTGAGATGTCCTCCCTTGGGGGAGTTGCTGAAACAAATAGTTCTGAGCTTCCAGAGTCTGGAAGCTTCTACTTGACCCGGGCTCCTGCCTGCTGACTGATAGTAGTTGCCAGATGGCTTGTGCTAGTAACTAAAAGGCTGCATCTTCTGAGGACTTGCTAAGTTTCCCTGGGGATCTCAAAGCAAGCTGAGAGAGCGCTGAGCTGGGAGGTGCGCAAGGGAAAAGCATGCTGGGGCTTTGCAGCAGTCCCAGGCTTTCAGACTAGTTAGGATTCTGCCAACTCGGTCTTCCCCAGGCAGGAGTGCCAGGGAAGCCTGTAAGGGGTGGCTGGGGTCAGCCTGGCTTCCAAGAGGCACTTCCTTCAGCCTTTTTAGTCACTTAATTCATGGTGCTGTCTAGTTACAGGCTAGTCTTGCCCTTTGGCTTTGGGGGATTCACAGCAAGTAAACTAGCAAAGGTCCTAGGTCAGAGCAGTGCAGAAGGGACTGGTAAGTCAGCTGGTGCCCCTGTCTGCAGGCCTGAGCAATGGGGACAAGCGCTTCAAAGGTCTTGTCAGCCTCAGACAAGCACTGCCTCAGGCATCTCCTGGAGCTGGGCTCTCCCTGGGCAGAGGTGGTGTAGCAGGAGGCAGAGAGGACGTAGCTGGGCGCTGATGGGTTCCCTGGAGGGCCCTGTTGAAGCAGATTGCCATCCTGTAGCGCTCTGGCTCTTGGCACAAGCACTTGCCAAGTTCTGCTTCTAGCCTGTGGCCAGGAGCTCAAGTAGCAAATGTGTGCAATCAGAATAGGCAGGAATCCTTGCCAGTCAGTCTCTGGGATGCACTGGGATGCCAACCTAGGAGCCCTGCCATGAGCCTGTTTACCAGCCTTCTGCTCAGCTGGGCCTCTGGCCTTGCAGCTCCCTGGGTGCCCAGTTCCCAGGTGTTTTCCCTTTTTTCCAGCTCTAACTGCATACATGCCATATGGGGAAGCTGTGCTAAGCCCATCAGCCTCTGTCTAACGGTGCTCAGGCCTATGTGGGAAAGCCCTGAACAAAAAAGCTTTGGGTGGACAAAAGTGGTAACTGCCCTTTTAAAAAAGGTAACTTCAGGGATCCCCAGTTTCCCTTCTGAAGGGGGCAGTGCCACCGGTCTGGGTGGGAAGTGGTGGCCATTGCTTGATCTCAAGCTCAAATCAGAGCAGGAATTCAGATACCTCATGTGCTTCCTCCCTTTCCACCCTCTTTACCTTGCTTCCTACATGAAGTGATCCCAAGGCCTCTCACCTGCACACAGACCCTGGGGTCCCTATAAAAGGAAAAGAAAAACTTGGTTTCCCACTGGAGCTGCGGGACTGCAGTGCCCCAGGCAGGATGCAGAGCCAGTCTGGGCTTTCCAGGCTGTTTGCCCCAAGCCACGTTTCAGCTTCTTTGAAACAGAGATCACACAACAGAGCAACCTCAGCTGGTGTTGTGGCTACCCACCTCTTACCCAGCTTAGCTTAAAGGTGGGGTCCCTGGCCTCGGGGCTCTGGGTGCCTCACTGACTGCTAGAGGAGAAGGCACAAGTAGGAGCTCCCAGCACAGGGGAGAGAACATGCTCTGGGCGTGTTAACTCATCGTTAGACCACAACATTCCCTTGTAACATGCCTGGAGTCCTGTGTCACACCCCTCCATCCAAGCTGGCCTAAAGTATCGCACCTCTCCCAGCTCACCACTCTCTTGCTGCTCTTCCCCTCTGTAGCGCAAACTTGTGTTCCCAGAGCTTCTGTCTCGTGACTGACCCTCCAAGTGCGCTGCTGCCCAGACCCATGAGCTGCTGTTCAAGCGTCTGGGCTTGTGCATTTCTGTCAGACTTTGTGCTTTGTCCTTCCTGTTGATGCTGTTTTGTTTACTAACCTTTTTGTTTTGTTTCTTTGTAATTTGCTCAGTGTGAGGGAGATGTGAGTATTGACTGTGCTAACAGTGCTGTGATTTTTTTTTTTTTTTCCTTTAACACCTCTCATTGTCTCTTTCTCATTTTAAATGAAAATTCATATCTCCCTTGTCCCATTGGGACTGGCCCTGGAGCATGTACTGAGTGTGGTCAGGGCTGCGGTTGCCTGGGGAACGTGCTCCAGAAAGATGGGAGCATTTGTCTGCTGCCTGCAGCCCCTCTGGAGCATGCACTCGGTTCCATCAACGCTGCTTGCAAGCAGTGCTCAAGAGAGGCAGGGGCTCCGGTAAAGACCCACTCGGGCTCCTCTGGCTGTAGGCAGGAGGAGGTCAGGTTGGGTGACAAGTCCCTCTCCTGGAAGGGAGGCAGCCCAGAGACAATGACAGGCAGGTTGATCTGGTTGTGGTGCTGTTCTGTCCGCCAGGCTCCAGGGCTCTGCCCATTTTCCCCATTACAAGAGCAAAAGGGGGAGGGAGGTGGGTCCCTTTTGACCACTGCTTGCAAATACAACTTCTCCGTGCATAGGGGTGCAAGAGCAGCTTGCCTCCTTCATCCCATGTGCTATGACTAGTTTTGGGACTCCCTGGAGACCAGGGAATGGGAGGAGAGGTTTCTTCAGTTGTTCTTGATCTTTAAAAAAAAAAAAAAAAAAGAAGAAAGCATAAGAAGCTATTTCTGTGAAACATCTCTTCTCCCCAGAGGGAGGAGTCAAGCCTAGTTGCTGTGCTGGCCTCATATCTCACTGGTGCATTTTTCTCCCTATATTCAGGCTTGACTTGTAATAGGAATCACTCCTCCTCATTCCTTCCTCCAGCCACCCCCAAAACTCCTAGATGGTTTAAAAAAAAAAAAAAATCTCATCTTGTTGGGACTGCCTGACTGCTCTTCCACACACTGGTCACTCATTCCAGCAGGCTGCTCGGGGCCCAGCAAATCAGGGCAGCATGTATAAGTAGATCTGGGTGAGCTGCAAAGAGATTAACCTGGGAGAGGAAACATGGGACCCGAGAGGATTAACAACATAGCTGGGTTACAGCTGCCTTGTGTGCCAGCCTTGCACACCAACCCACGGCGTGGTTAAGGCTGATGAGGAGGATACCCTGATCATCGCACCAGTGTGATGGTCCTGATGTAAGCTAGCTCTTGGCTTATCTCTTTGGCTGGTGCTACAACCAACGGCCATCCTAGGAGGAGGCCTAGTCTTCGCTTAGCTGAATAGAGAGACCATGTTATGGGATGGATCGTGAACCTACACCTGTGGGGGGGTGAACTGCATCCCTTGCATTCCCAATGAGGAAAACCTCCAGAGTGCTTAAGTCTTCCTGCCCCAGGGCAGAGGTTTAGCTATAGGGAAGGTGACTTGGAGGTTTTCTGACCTCTGGGATGAAAACTCGTACACTGCCTTTGGCAACAGCAAGGCTTTGGTCTGGATCTGCTTTGGCGAAGCCATGCCCCTTACTGAAGACAGCAGATCTGAGGATGTTAGGAGGAAACATGCCCAGAGGCTTGGTGAGAGTAAGAAAAGTAGATGTTTCTTTAAAAGGCGCTGGGGAAAGGATGCTCTGATACTGGTAAACATGCCCTGCAAGGACAAGGCCCTGTACAGGGACACTTCTAAGGCTGTAGGCAGGAATCAAGGGGAAAGAAGGTCCTGCCCAATGGACTGAGCCAACGTGACGTGAGCAACCTGCTGGCTGCAAGGGAATGGGAAACACGTTTGAGGTGGTGCTGTCTCATCTCCACTCCAACTGGCTGCTGTACGAGCGGATAGCTGTAAGTACAGGCAGAGTTGCTAACAGCAGAAAGAGCTGCTGTTGAAGTACCAGGTGTGACTGCATGAGCCAGTCCGCCTCCTCTTGCACAAGCCTGCCTTCCACCTGGGGAGAGCTTCCACGCACCACTGCCCAGACTGTTGGGAGACCTCCCTCCTGCCATCCCATAAGAATTTGAACTAAGCTCCCAGCACGGACAGGAAAAAACCACTAGCGCCTTCTTCCATCCATTGCCCGACTGACTCCTGTCGACTCTTCTGCGTGACTTGTACATGAAACTCTATTCCCCCCACTAGGCTGTACCTGACTTTCAGGAGACTAGACCTCGTAATTATGTTCTCTCCGCCAGCGCATCAGCGGTAAGATTGCCTCCTCCTAGATGTTGCCTCTCCAACCTCTTCCTGCCCCTCTCTCCACCTGACTTAAACTCAGACCTAGTGCTCTGCTGTTTTCAACATTTTAATGTGACATGGGCTGCCCAGCATTCCTCTAACTCAACCTTAAGGATGCAGATCACCCCTGCAGGGGTGCACGGTCAGGGTCTGGCACTTTTGCTCCTTGGCTTGCTTTCCAGCTTCTCTGCCAATCCTTTTCCACATTTCTAGTGGGGATCTTCTGACTTTTTGTTATTGCTAGTGGAGCAGCTGAAAGGAAAAAACCTCAAAGGCTGTACGCTGGCAACGTCACATGCACGGCTGCCCGATCAGTACTGTGGTGTCAGTGCTCAGAGGCTTTGTAGCTGGTCAAGAGCAGCAAAGGTGGAGGAATCTCTCTGCTGCCCATCATGTCAGTAGCGCAGTAGGCTGACAGTGCAGGCTTGTCTACTCTGCAAGTAGAAATAACTTTTTTTTCCTTTCATCTTGGGGCCTGTCTCTTGGCGCCTGTTATGCAGTCAGATGCGCCGGGGGGTGGGCGAATAGCCCGTTGCATCTCTGCTGTGTTGCACTGAGTGGCTGTGGTCAAGCAATTGACTTTCTGTGCTGTGTTCATGGCTCCCCACTGCACAATGTCACATTTCTCGTTAAAATGTTGAAAACCAATCAGCTTGCTTCCTAAATAGCATTCAGAACAACACTGATGCCTGTTAATAGAATCATCTGGGAGTGGAAGGGCTGCGGAGTGGGATCTGTAGATATGACAAAGGACAGCGCAGCCCTCTAGCCAA